AAGGTTACGTATCTTATTAATTATAGTTTAAAAAAATTTCATTAAGAGCAGTCTTTTTATTTTCATTAAGTACAAAATAAATAGTATAAACCAATTTAAAAGTAACTTGTTGAAATATTCTCTCCATGCATTTAAAGTAATGCCAAGAAAAGTGTCCAGCAGCTTTCGAGAGCGACGCGTAAGTGGAGCGGTAAACAAGTGACCCGGCCACGCCCACCAGCCACCCACATAAGGGGGCGTTGGGATGGGAAAGCGGATGTTGGCAGTCGAAGGGGGGAGGGGAGGGGAGGAGAAAAGGAAAGGAGCGTAGACTGAGCTGTGTGGGCAAACTGCTGGCTGCAGTCGCTCAGCGGGCGGGCGCCATTTACCAAGTGTCAAAAGCAAAGCTAAAGCTATTGTCGACATGACTTCGGACGACAACAACAGCGAGAAGAGTGCTTTTCTGCTTTTCCCCACCGAAAAAGTGAAATGCTTTGTTGGCAATTGCCGAGGAGTTTCCCGGAGAACTCGAAGTCGGAGAACTTGCAGCTGAGCAGGTCCTGCAGATCCTGTAGGAGAGCAAAAGCGGCAACGAGGGAAAGAGCCAGCGTGTGTCAACTTCTTTTCAGACCGAGAAGGGATTTTCCACTCTCCACTCCGGCGGGTCAAGACGAAGGCGGCTCCGATAGAAAAGTGGGTGACAAGTAACCGGAAAATGTATTTTATTGTTTGCATCCGGACATTTCGTTTTTCCGACCTCTGCCCTTACAGCTTCCAATACCCCGCTTTCCCGCTTTCCCGCTTCCCAGCTTTCCAGCTTGCCAGCTTCCTTCAACCGAATAGCAGTGACTCGGTCTTCTGGCACTAAATTTGTCGAGTAATTGATGATATTGCACTTTTTACCCAAGTACGTTCGAGAACGAGAGCTGCAGATGCTCCGAGAGTTGTGGGCGTTATTGTGGTAATGTCCTGGTCGAGAAGAGTGGCAGCGTAATGGATGGAGATATATGCCCGTGGATAGAGAGAACAGGAAATGCTGCCGTCGACGCCAAGAATTGGTTTGCAACTACAATTGTAAGTTGGCTTAGGGGTAATTTATCTAGCATCCTGAAAATATGATTCCTATCTTTCATTGTTACTTATGTGGGCTTAGTTTTTTTTTTATATTTATTTAAAAGTAATCTCTTAACTTGATATTTCAATGATAATAGTTTGTAAGCAAAGTCTAGTTTCTTTTTATTTCTTACTCAATTAAAGAATATGCTTAATTGGTGAACTTTTTGACTTTGCAGCACTCACTTTTCGACTGATCAATGTACATGTTGAATGCTTCTTGGTTCATTACAATAAGAACCGATCTTTAGTGGCCCGAGGGCGGGGCTGTTAGTCGCTGTCCACCCCCCACTTACCACCCAGCTGGGCCAGTTGGAGCTGGCTAACTTGATAGATTGTCTAAATGTGCTGCGTATGAATGAATGAATGAATAAGCGAGCGCAGTCCCCCTGCTCCACCAACTGATGGCCACCTCGAAAACGCCCGTTGGGTCCGCCTGATGCCTCTCCGAGATTGATGGCCAAAATGGCTGTTGAAACAACGAGGGAGGGAAGACAAGGGGAGAGGGGAGAGAAGGGGGGGGAGGCGAGGCTAACAGGCAGCAGCGACTGCCGCTCAATGAAGAAAAATAATCACCAACATCATTTATTTTCCGTTTTGCCTGCCGACGTCGTACAGCACACATCAATCTTTTGCAACAGCAACAGCCAACTATCGACCATGACCAGGCCCCTGGACTTTGGCTAAAAGCAGGGAACGGGTAGTGGAAACTGGGAACTGGGAACTGGGACTTTTGGCCGTGATGTATACTTTTGTGAGCCTGACAGCTTCTGACGTGGATGTGGACGTGGACGAGAAGCCAGGCTTCAGCTTGATGTTTGATGTTTGATGCTGGGATGTTGGGATACTGGTATGCTAGGGGATGCCTGAAGGAGGGTGGTGCTTTGGAGGCTGACAGACGACTTTTGACGTTTGCCTGCAATTAACGATGCCATCCCACTGGCTCAGTGTTGAAAAATGACTGCAGCTGCAGGTGAAAATGGCACGACGGAGTGTTGGTTAATGACACGACAACAGTTCGAGTCAGCCACCAAAGGAGGCTCTCCCCTCCAGTTCCCCGCATTTAAATCATTAATCCCAGTGACGAGGACCCCACACACGCAGTCCCATCACTCAGCCGGAGTGATGTCAAAGATAGACGAGCAGCTCGGAGCACTGGAGGATGTCTTTCAAATGGAGATGGGAGGGTGGCAGGGGATGTGGCAGAGGAAGTGGAAGTGGAAGAGCCCGGGGCTGGGTAGTCATCAGCAGAGCCAGATCCAAAGAAAAGTCGGAGTCGCGTCCTCGTTTGCCGAGACTAATTTGTGGCCCTCTTCTAAGACGCCCACTATAAAAGCCACTGCACCAAAAAAAAATTGTAACTAAGAAACTTGCAAAGAGAATTTTGTGTACACAAATAAACATTTACTATTTAATTATTTTCTTTTTTTTAATATATAGTAAGCTTTTCCCACAAAAAAAAAAAATATTTTAGTTTACTTTAGAAATGAATTCTTATTCATAATCCAACTTACATAAAATCGCTTTAATATGCCTGCTGATGGAATTTAAGCAAATTTTGTAGCATACTTTTCAGTTGAATAATATTTCATGCAGATTCCAAATCTCTTGTTTATAAATGATTTTCCCCCAGTGGAGCTACAACTTTTTGATCCTTGCTGAGGCTCGTTATGTGACTGGTGACTTGGTTTTGTTGCAAGTCACTTGAAAAGTCATTAATCATTTTGGGGGATTTCGCTTTTTGCGCCATTTGGGGCGTAGTTGTGCGCCGAGCTGTCGGAGTCGCTGGATTTCGACTCGGAGTGCTGCAGAAATCCATCACGCACCCAAATGGCAGCCACTCGCATCAGCCAAAACCACCCAAATGGGCCAACAGGCGAGGCAACAGCCAAACAGCCAAGCAGCCAAACAGCCAAACAGCCAACAGCTAACAGCCAACATCAATGTCAACGTCAGGCGGAGCAGGACGCGGATGTGTGCGCGGATGTGAGCGCGGATGTGAGCGCGGACAAGGCGACGGCAGCGATGTCTGACAGGCGGAAGAAAAGAGCCACCCATCAAGTAAAAAAAACTAAAGGGGGCGGGGTCGAGGCAGTCAGTGAATGAAAGTGCTTTGTGATTAGGAGTCAAAGCATATGCTTTTTAATTTGCATGTCAGCTCGCGGTGCCAGTTTGGCGTTCTACTCGCTCAACTCAGATTAGGATGCCTGTCCGTTGCACCGCAGCAATTTGTAGCCCTGTTATGAGAAACGTGAAAGATACTCTTGGGTGCAAAGAGATCATAATGTTTAGCAACAATGTTTATGTTTGTTGTTCTTTATAGCAACTCGTAGCGAAGCAAACAATTTTTACGCTCCGTATCAGAAAATTCTGAATGTGGACAAAGTATTTCCGCGAACGGATCTTCGTAGTCATCGTCGCCTGGAACGGATCTTCCCAAAGCAGGAATTACAATCATCAGGACAACAGTCAGCACTCCAAAAAGAATAGCCTAAAATATACGTAAATGTTAAAGAAAATGTATATATATCTTATAGAACTGCTTGACTTACAAACCACTTCATCTCGGATGGTTTTCTGAATATGTGATGTCTTCCAAGAACTTAGCTTTATTTATACCGAAGGTCTTATCGCTTTTGACTGTGAGTGTTAAAGTTTCTGAAATTCCCTCAAAATAAATCATCAAAATAATGAAGTCTATATACTATATCTCGTTATCTCGAACTCAATATAATGTTTTTTTAAACAAAGCAAAAAACATAACAGCAAAAATGCTTATAATTATGAACACTTTAGTTCATTTTTCCAAGATCTTATCAAAAACAAAAATTGAAAAAGTTCTTGAAATTCTGATCTAAGCTTAGTCCAGAGCCAAAATTATTTTGTATACAGTCATGGCAAACAGATTACTCCGCCATCGGGCGGAAATCGTCTGTAAAACTCTATAAACATGAATTTTACTTGTAGAGCTCCTGAATAACTGCATCAAGTGTAAATTACACAAGCCAATAACCTACTGTCGAATTGGTTAGTGTCTTGACTTTGTCAATGATAAAGATAACAGAGAAGTGTTAATATCTTAACAGAATTGTACTACTTTTGAAATTCTATTAAAAATTTGGAAATTATGTAAAAAATTAAATTATTTTATTCTGTATTTTATTGACTTATTATTTTTCATAAAAAATTCATAACATTCATAACAATTTAAAAATGGTGTTTTGAGTTCTTATTTTTCCAAATAAATTAATTGAACATCGTCAAATTCAAATTGATCAGCGGCGACAGAAACACTTTGCCTAAAAAATCTTGCTGATTGGCCTCCTCTCTCTCTCTCCTGCTTTCCACTAAAAAGACTTGTATCCAACACCAGTGAATTCCAGCTAGAGAGAGTCACTCTGGAACAGCCGTCGCAAGCAGAATATGGTATTGGTATCACACTGGATAAGCGCCTTACGTTTGGACCACATCTGAAAGCAACAGTCAAGAAATCCAACTTAAGGAAACAGATATGCAAACTGTATCCTGCCAATCTGACTTTATGGTATCCAAATTCGGGGGATCGCAGCCAAATCGAACTACAAACGGATACAAGTGTTGCAGGATCGGTTTCTACGTACCATTACCGACTGTCCCTGGTATGTGCGTGGCACTACACTTCACAGAGACCTAAATCTTCACACTGTGGAAGAGCAGATTGGGAGGCACACAAGCCGATACAGAGATAGATTAAGAACACACCGCAGCCTTCTAGCTAGGAATCTACTCCCAGCGAGACTTTTGAGGCGTCTCAAAAGTCAAGGCTTTGCCAAGAGGATAGGGAACCAATAAGGCTAACATACTATAATATATAGTATGTCTCATTTAGACAGAGGTTCGGTTTTTTTTTTTCATTTGTGACCCCTGTGTTGTTAAAGTACTTTATTATGCTGTACAGATTTTGCACTAAATAAAAACACAATCAAAGAAAAAACTCAGATTAGGTTGCCTTTCCGTTAGACCGCAGCAGTTTTAAGCCCTGTTATGCGAAAAGTGAAAGATACTTTTGTGTACAATGGGATCAACGTTTTTTAAGTTCATTCTTTTCTATAACACCTACAAAAGGAACGCCCACTAAAGGGAACAATTTTTATGCAACCAATTTGAGAAAATTTCGGAGGTGGACAATTTTGAGAAAACGGATCAGGGTCTACGATGCCGTCGGGAATGTATCTTCCTAAAGCAGGAGTTGCAATCATCAGGACAACAGTCAGCATTCCAAAAAGAATAGCCTAAAATACGTTAATGTAAAAGAAAATGCACATCATATTTTATTATACTGCTTGACTTACAAACAACTTCATCTCGGATGATTTTCTGAATATATGATGTCTTTCTAGAATGGAGCTTTATTTATACCGCAGTTCTTATCGCTTTTGACTATGTGTTCAAGTTCCTGGAATTCCCGGATGTCATTACAATAATCAAGTAGATAGTCTCGTCTTGGCGACTTTAATTTAATGTTTTTAACTGTCATGACAACTGTCAACTGAGAATACTTATAATTATGAACATTGTATCTCCTTTTTTACCTGATTGGAAAACAAAAATTGAAATAGGTCCAGAAGTTATAATAAGCGCAGTTTAGAGCCAAAATTAATTTTAAGGTCATAGCTAACAGATTACTGCGCCATCTAGCGGAAATCGTCTGTACAACTCTATACACATGCATTTTACTTGTAGATCTCCTAAATATCTACACCGACTGTGAGCTATCCAAGCCAATAACCTACTGTTGAATTGGTTAGTGTCTTGACTTTCTCTACGATGAAGATAACAGTGCGCTGTTCATATTTTAACAGAATTTTATTACTTTTGATTTTCTCTTCAAAATATGGAAATTATGTACAAAATTAAGAATTTGTATTTTGTATTTCATACACTTATTATATTTCTTAAAAAATTGCAAACATAAAATCAATCAAATTAAAAATTGTGTTTTGAGTTCTTATTTTTCCAAATAAATTAATTGAACATCGTCAAATTCAAATTGATCAGCGGCGACAGAAACACTTTGCCTGTCGTGTGTCTGTTGGCTTTGGCCATCTGGTCGAACACTCGCAGCCAAGTTGGCCAATTGCCGAGCCGTGAGATGCCGTTAAATGGACACGCAGCGCGAGCCACATCTGTGGAAAGAGCCAAGGCTAATGCCTCATCCACAGCCCCAACTTGCTGCGAGTTCTCGCTCTGCGTAGCCAGAGATGCTTCCTGTTTGATAAATTTGAAAATCAATTGAAAATGCCCGAAAGACCGACGCGTCTTGGTGGGAGACAGACACACACAGGCCGAGAGAGATTCGCGGAAAAGCAGCTGGAAGCGGTTCCGAGTCGAGTCGGAGATGCTGCCCCAAGGAACTGCAGGCTCCAGTCACCGCCTAACCGAGTTGACTGTGTTTGTGGGACAGGAATTAAATTAAGGCACTGTACTTATTAAAAAATCTACAATTAAAACACATAAATATTAGATGAAAAGTTATCTTCATTAGGAAATAGGAAAAAATAATAGTACAGTGTAGCACGAATAAGTTGACGAAAGGTGACCGAAAACTTAATTTATTAAAACCAGTAATTGGGCAAGACAACATTTTCCTATTTCTGGTGTATTGCGAAGTTGATCCAAAATAGCACCTCAGAGCCTATATTTTGGACAATTTTTACTCCGATTTAAAAGTGTTCGTAATTATATTCTTAAAGGAACTGCATTCAAAATTAGTCATTTGCCGATGGTCGAATTTTTGACCCCTGTTCATGTCCGATTTTTCGCAATTTCAGAAGTTTAACTAACAGCAGACCTTATTTTTAAGATCCACAACCTATACATTTTTCCATTTTTCTTCGATTTCAAAGTGGCATGCCTCTAACCGCTTGTAATTGCATTCTTAAAGAAACTGCATTTAAAATTTTCAATTTCCCGATGTTCGAAATTTTGAGCCCTGTTCATGTCAGATTTTTCCAAATTTCCGATGTTTTGCAAATGGAGACTCAATTTTTGAGATCCACAAACCATAACTTTGCCAATTTTAGTCCATTTTCAAAATGGCATACCTCCAAATGTTCGTAATTCTGTTCCTAAAGGAACTCCATTCAAACTTATTTGTAGAATAATAGATTTCATGACCCATGATCAGTAATCGATTTTTTACCTGTCACTGGCTCCAGTCACTTCACCAGCACGCACTTGCAGGCGCATCTCTGGCACTGGCCATAACCTAGAATATTTTATTTTTTTATTGATATTTTCTAGCCATCTATTTACCGCGGCCGGATCATCTGCCCAGTGCCCGAGCCCCGCGCCAATCGATGCAAATAAATCACTATGGAAAATGCAGTCGATGAAAAAAAGCGACGCGTAAGTGCCGCCAAATAAATTTCGCAATTTATTTATTGCAGGCTGCCGTTCGATTTGGATGGCTATGAAGATGGGGAGTTCAGGTTTTTGGCTATCGGCGAAACAGGCGCGTCGCGGAAGAGAAGTATTTTATTTCATTGCCAGCAAATTGGCAATAAGTGAAATTTGTTGGCCACGCTCGGCAGGTGTGTGCGCCAATGGCGATTGAAGGAAAAGGAAATTTGAATCGCACGCAGATTCCCTTACTGGGGAAATTGGGTTAGCAATGCCATCTTGAGAGGCGTGTCCTTTTCTTTTTAGCAGCTCATAAAGAGCCACTTAATATATCATCGACGGGTTTAATTATCCGATTAAGCCGCGATGCAGACACCTGCGAATGAGTTCCCGAGATGGTGGTGCAACCGTAACCGATCGACTCTGACCCATTTCTCCATTGTTAACATTCACTTTTGTGCCAGTAATTTATTGTTATGCCAGTGCCTTCGACGGCATCATTTTTGCATAAATAAATCAGCTGAAGTGAAGGAGGAGATTCAACGGGGGCCAAAGTGCAAATGAATTAGCATTTGTATTCACCCGATTCCCATACGCATCATTAGCCTAAGAGGCGGCATCAAGTGTAATTTAACCGTTAACAAAAGCCCATTGTGGGCTAACAACCCATTGTGAGTGTGTGGAAAGGCTTTTACTGGCTGGATGCTGGGTAAAAGCCCGCAGAGCGAAAAAGAATCCGCGCAGACGCAAATTGATTGAACGCCGCGAAGGAGTCGAAGAACCTGGCTAATGACCGCAAATTAACACTGGCCAAGGAGCCGCAAGACGAGTGTCATTAACAGAAGTGTTTGCCAACGGAGAAGGGGGGATGGGAGGAGGGGAGGGGAGGAGAAAGGGGGAGGGGTGGGAGGTAAGGAGATGGGGAGGCAGGCGGTCGAGTGGCAGCCACTCACTTTGGCGCGGGCTTTTAGCATATCTTCTAATAGATCGCCAACTTGGCATACTTAACTCGCGTTCCGAGTTAGTGTTTTCCTTAACTCTTTCTGGCCAGTTGACCGTGCTAAGTTGGGCCATAAATCGGTAGTTAACGCTACCAGATCTGCGGCTACTGCAGTAGTCGCCACAGGCAATCATAATTTAAAGATTCCTAATGCTCCGCATATGAGCAGTGGAAAGTCCAGTGAAAAAGCTAGCCTAAATAAACTACTGAATTAAAATAGTTTTAATCAATGAATACATTAAAAATAATTAAGTGCCATTAAAGTCAACTTTTCAAACTGTGTTCATTACTATACATATTTATTTATGATCTATTATTTTAATTTTAAACTATTTTCAAATATATTTAATGATATTAATTTGATTTAATACCCCCAATAACAAAGATTATTTGCTCCATATCCACACATTAATCCACGTCCAAAGTAGACTTATATCCAAGATATCGGTTATGTAGGAAGTACCGCCAAACCAACACAAATCTCCCCCAATTACAAATCACTATATAAAGCAATCCAGCCCACCCCGCTCTTCAATTTGCAATTTGAGGCGAAAACTCAGTGAAAACACAAGATTTCGTTTGCAAATTGCTTGTGTGTAGGTTTTCGACATATTTTTTTGCTTTTTTTAGCATCTTTCTATTCCTATAATTACCACAGAAATCGCATAACAAGCTGCTGCACCGACGATAAAAAAAGTTCGAAATGGGGGGAGTAACTGGGGAAACTGGGTCAGCACTGTGGCATTATTGGTTTAGTGGATCAGACCGACAACGACTACGCAAAAGGCAATTTGAGTTGCAGAGGAGAACGAAATAAAACAAAAAGCATGGACCTCCACCGGCCACATTTATTAGATCAATGTCTCGGCAACAGCTAACCAACATCGAGAGCAACAGCAAAACAACCAAACAACCGACGAGCAACAACCCACAAGCCGAGCCTGCTGAATAAATTGCAGAGGCTGCGGCCTACTCGAGATCAGCAGCGAAAACAAAAAGCTGGGGAAAACACAAAATCAAACGAATGACTAGCATGAGGCCAATATATAATAATGGTTAAACGCCCAGGCATCGGTCTCTCCACTCCACTTCACTCCACTGCAGCAACATCTAATAACAGCAGCAACAGCAACATCTGCAGCAGCAACAAGAACAGCTAAACAACTAAACAACCAAACAACCAAACAACTGAACAACCAGCAACCAACTGCCCATTAAACGGAGCTCCAGAGAATCCACCTCGATTGGCACTGGCGAAACAATTTAAATAGAATTCGCCAGCTCGGATGGGAAATTCGAATTGAATTTGTTGCTGATGCATGTCCATGTTGCTGTTGCTGCTGCTGCTGCTGCTGCTGCTGCTGCTGCTGCTGCTGTTCATGTTCAATTTTCCAGCACCACCCAACCGAAAAATTCAGAGAGCGAATATAATCATTAAAATAAATTGTTGGCCAAATTTGTGTAAGATTTATGTACTCAAGAGAAAATGCAACTAAAACGTATTTTTAGCAAAGTGAAAACTGAGAGATTGCAATGATTCAAGTTTGATTATTATCGAATTCCAAGAATACAAATAGATCTCATATTTTAACCTTAAAAAATAATAGCCTTAACATACCACATGGTTTTTTTTAAAACATATATAAATGGTTTTACTTGTTTCCATTTTATTTAAATTTAAAACTAAATAGTCGGATAGCGGATTATAAAAAATGTTTAGCTTAGCCTGCAATAAATTGTTTCAATATTTTACTATCTACTCAAGTTAATATATTAAGTAAAAATATTCTTTGAAACCTTTTCCTGCTAAGATAGTGAATAGAACAAGCAGGAAACGCATGTTGCAAGATTTATATGCATTCATGATCGGTATTAGAAAATTGTCCGAGCAAATGTTTTCGGCTAGCATGTTGCACATGCTGCACATGTTGCTACAGCCACATAGTTTCTCCGCAGCGAGATCAATAAAACCTGGCCGGCTGGCTACTTGCTACTGGCCTTGCCTTCCTTGGTTCCGCCTATTGCTGTTTGCTGCCTGCCTGCATATTAATTTATGTTTCGACATT